TGTAAAAAATCATCAAAATCGGAGATAAAATAACCGTTAAATTGTGATTTTTCGTTTATAATCGTCGAAAACTTTTGTTCCATTACGTAATCTCTGAATGTTTTTTTTTTATGATTTTTTACGTATGCGATCTCGGAATGTGTGCAAATAAGTTTGACGGTTGGATCATTGAAAAAAGTTTTGTAGAATGCATATTGCGTCAAAACAGTAGATTAAACAAACATTTAGAGTTAATATTATACTTCTATTAAGTATAAAATAAGTTTTTGTGGTATCCACTAGTGTAAATACTTTAAATTAAAGATCAAATTTATTCATTACATTCTTATAGGTCGAGGAGTCTATCTGTAAAAAATCATCAAAATCGGAGATAAAATAACCGTTAAATTGTGATTTTTCGTTTATAACCGTCGAAAACTTTTGTTCTATTACGTAATCTCTAAATGTTTTTTTTTACATTTTTTTACGTATGCGATCTCGGAATGTGTACAAATAAGTTTGACGGTTGGATCGTTGAAAAAAGTTTCGTAGAATGCATATTGCGTCAAAATGGTAGATTAAACAAACACTTAGAGTTAATATTATACTTCTATTAAGTATAAAATAAGTTTTTGTAGTATCCACTAGTGTAAATACTTTAAATTAAAGATCAAATTTATTCATTACATTCTTATAGGGTCGAGGAGTGTATCTGTAAAAAATCATCAAACTCGGAGATAAAATAACCGTTAAATTGTGATTTTTCGTTTATAACCGTCGAAAAGTTTTGTTCCATTACGTAATCTCTGAATGTTTGTTTTTTATGATTTTTTACGTATGCGATCTCAGAATGTGTACAAATAAGTTTGATGGTTGGATCGTTGAAAAAAGTTTTTTAGAATGCATATTGCGTCAAAATAGTAGATTAAACAAACACTTAGAGTTAATATTATACTTCTATTAAGTATAAAATAAGTTTTTGTGGTATCCACTAGTGTAAATACTTTAAATTAAAGATCAAATTTATTCATTACATTCTTATAGGGTCGAGAAGTGTATCTGTAAAAAATCATCAAAATCAGAGATAAAATAACCGTTAAATTGTGATTTTTCGTTTATAACCGTCGAAAACTTTTGTTCCATTACGTAATCTCTGAATGTTTGTTTTTTACGATTTTTTACGTATGCGATCTCGGAATATGTACAAATAAGTTTGACGGTTGGATCGTTGAAAAAAGTTTCGTAGAATGCATATTGCGTCAAAACGGTAGATTAAACAAACACTTAGAGTTAATATTATACTTCTATTAAGTATGAAATAAGTTTTTGTGGTATCCACTAGTGTAAATACTTTAAATTAAAGATCAAATTTATTCATTACATTCTTATAGGGTCGAGGAGTGTATTTGTAAAAAATCATCAAAATCGGAGCTAAAATAACCGTTAAATTGTGATTTTTCATTTATAACCGTCGAAAAGTTTTGTTCCATTACGTAATCTCTTAATGTTTGTTTTTTATGATTTTTTACGTATGCGATCTCGGAATGTGTACAAATAAGTTTGATGGTTGGATCGTTGAAATATTTTTTGTAGAATGCATATTGCGTCAAAACAGTAAATTAAACAAACACTTAGAGTTAATATTATACTTCTATTAAGTATAAAAATAAGTTTTTGTGGTATCCACTAGTGTAAATACTTTAAATTAAAGATCAAATTTATTCATTACATTCTTATAGGTCGAGGAGTCTATCTGTAAAAAAGTATCAAAATCGGAGATAAAATAACCATTAAATTGTGATTTTTTGTTTATAACCGTCGAAAACTTTTGCTCCATTACGTAATCTCTGAATGTTTGTTTTTTTACGATTTTTTACGTATGCGATCTTGGAATGTGTACAAATAAGTTTGACGGTTGGATCGTTGAAAAAAATTTCGTAGAATGCATATTGTGTCAAAACGGTAGATTAAACAAACACTTAGAGTTAATATTATACTTCTATTAAGTATAAAATAAGTTTTTGTGGTATCCACTATTGTAAATACTTTAAATTAAAGATCAAATTTATTCATTACATTCTTATAGGTCGAGGAGTCTATCTGTAAAAAAGTATCAAAATCAGAGATAAAATAACCATTAAATTGTCATTTTTCGTTTATAACCGTCGAAAACTTTTGTTCCGTTACGTAATATCTGAATGTTTTTTTTTTACGATTTTTTACGTATGCAATCTTGGAATGTGTACAAATAAGTTTGACGGTTGGATCGTTGAAAAAAGTTATTGGACCGCCAGCAATAGATAATTTTGTAGTAGTGAAACCTTAAATTTATTTAACCGTCGATTGTCATTTACGCTTTATTCTTCTTACTGAATTTCATTTTTAAAATTTTATTTTTTGAAAACATGATCATCTGGCGGATGTAAGAAGATGATATTACGTTTCGATATTTATGGTTAACTGAAATATGAGTCAATGTCATATAATTTGTAGAAACTTTATAAACATCAAGTAATATTTTCACTAACCGTAAAACTCTAAATATAATATCAACGAGCTAAACCGTTCATCTACCTGCACCCTCTAATAGATCATGTTTTCAAAAAAGAAAATCTAAAAAAACGAAATTTGATGAGAACAATGAAGCATAAATGTAAACAACAATCAACGGTTAAATTTTGATCTATGAATTATATGATTATTATAGTGGCGAATTTCGAAGTTAAGCTCTTCATGAAAGTTATAAAGCTTGTCATTACGAGTGTTTTATATATATTTTTCTATATTTTTTTACACTTCTACATTAATTTAAAAAACTATTAAAGACTTTAAGTAAGCGAAAATATACTTAAAACAAAATTGTGTTTTTATGTTTTGGATGTGATAATATGGAATGTATATACTTATTTAGTATTATGTTTTTCATTTGATTATTTATTGGTTTAAAATATATTTTCCTTAACGGGTAACGGGTCGGGTCATATTACCTGTTAATATTATCGGGTCGATTTCGGGTCGGGTCATTTTACCCGTTTATTTTAACGGGTGTTACACGACACGACCCGTTAAGATATCAGGTATGACACGAAAACGACACGAACACGGAAAACACGACACGAATGCCAAGTCTATCTAACACTAGTACTTATTTAATAGGACTAAGAATAATGTTTGTTCGGTCCGTGCAAATTGTGTAATAAATTTACTATTGAGATTCTATCTAGAACTGAACAGGAATCTAGCACACATATATATGATTGAGCACATGTGGGAGAACGTGAGGTTTGTATTGTATCCAAGAATTTTAGGAAGCATATATGGATTGGAATCTGAGCTTCTGCCTAGGCGTCGGTCCATATATATGATTGACGAGAGAGAGAGAGAGAGAGAGAGAGGACAAGGGCGACATAAAAGGGAAAGCTGCCATGGAAACAGAGAGAACCTCTTCACGCCTATCACATGTGTGATGTGGCCATCAACATTTTTACATAGTAACAGCTTGGATTTCCGAGCCACGCACCCGTCTTTCTCCCTTTCTCTTTCTTCTTCTTCTGCTCTCATCTCCTTCTTACTCCGATCGATTATAAACAATGAGGATACTACTTTCCTAGCTTGTTAGTTGTTACAGTACTCTCTCCATTAATAACTAATAACTAATATGCTTGAGACCTAGGATATATTTTTCATCGGTTGTTTAAGAGTTTTTTTTCTTACACCGAAGTTCTGAGTTCGAATCCCCCAACTTCCATTAATAATGTCTAGAATGAGTGTATAGCCTAATGATTGTCAATTAATGGACAACAAGTAACCAATTGAGTGAAATTAGAACAAGACAAGTTCTAAACTAAAGCTTGAAAATAATTTGAAAATTAAGTTACCTGTGAGTTTTCCAAATAAAATTCGAACATCACTGTCCTGCCGACCAAAAATACAATCTTGACTGTTGCACTCTAGTGAGAAAGACAGATGGAGTAGCTTTTTTGAGGGTTTTATTTGCTTCACCTTGGTTAGTGCAAAAGCAAATCCCAAACCCAGCTAATTGCACTCTCTTAAAAATAGTAATCACTATTTATTCTACTTTGTTTTGGTAAAGGGATGAACTGGTACTGATACAAAGTGTCAAAGAGGCTCTCCAATTTTTCATCTTTTTTGGTTCCTTGGTATGCTTTTGAGTGATATGAGTATAATAGTATGGTCCTAGAGTCTCTAGGTTAGTATTTTCCAACAAAATTCCAAGGACTCATTGCTCTCTTTTATACATGCATGGTTTTGAGTGGGATATTGGCGTTTCTCTTATTTTCTTTGTAACCACATCCAACAAAATAGTAAGTCTCGTTTTGGACAATTTCTTATAATTGCATAATCATTTTAGTCATCGCACTAGATAGAAGTAAGTACATCGATCTTCTGATTACACTAAACCCTTCTATCCTCTCTCTCTCTCTCTCTCTCTCTCTCTCTCTCTCTCTCTCTCTACATACATATATACACATATATGTTGGTCAAAATTTAAAACAAGGCCATGAACTAGCTTTAGGGCAATAACTAGCAAGAGGTAAAGATCCCCAAAAGTATGTTTTCAAAATATCTGCAGTTAATGCTATGAATAAAAGAAATTTGATCAAGTTGATAGTGGGGAGATATGGTGAACATTCTTTCATGTCCTGAAATATCAAACAGAAATGACCCAACAATTGAGATACTATGATAACAAGACTCAAGAATGTCTGGTTGCAATATTGCCTAAAATCGAAATGATATTATTGCTTCTTCGACAGGCAGCGTGTGTACTTTCAAGTCCAGTACATGATAGTCTCTCTCATGTTACCAATTCATCAATTCATCACGTAACAATCCTAGTGTACTTTTTGAGTACATGTGGCAAGCATGTATTGGACAGTGATAAACTATGAGATTAAATCTTAGTTGCATACAGAGAGTGTGGGAACTGACAACTAATCTTCTAATATAACTTTCCACCCTTTTCACTGGAATTAATTAATAATGAGTAAGAGTAAAGATTGAACAAAACTTTTAAAATTAGTGAAGGAAACTTGGTACACATAGCATTCATTTGACGAATGATAACAATTTGGCCCTTCAAAATGTCAGATACAAAAGTACTCCAAGTCTCCATGAAACATGATTAAGCACATAGCTAAGCTACATAAACTCTCCCAAAAACTAAAGCAATAAAAAACAACAAACGATTCCAAACTAAAATCCTACCATTTCATCTAATTAAGCTTCTTTTGACAAAATATGATGAGATTGTTCCACCTTCCCATTTCATCTCACACATACTTTTGGACTTGAACCTTCAAAACCCTTGAGAAGTTAGCATTGGTTGATCGATTGGTTGAAATTTTATTACCTTCGAGAGTACTTGATCATTTTCTCTTGAACCTGTAATAATTCAATGAAAAACAAGTGACAATGATCAAATATCACAAGAGATGGGTGGTAGAAGAAGAAGATGTGAAACCAGAAAGATCAGTCCAAACACTGCCACCAGTACCAGCAGTACTAGTACCCCAGTATTGGTGATCATTTCCCAGACTTCCCGAAAAATTCCTTGACAAATTCAGTGCTTGATGACTGTGTTCCATTTTCACATTAACCATCTGAGTAGTAGTAACTCTGTTACCCGCCGAATGATCTAACGGCAATTGGTACATCCCATGAGTAGTACTAGGTGGTGGTTCCAAATTAGCCAAGAAATTAGGAAATTGTTGCTGAAGTAGTGATGATCTCCAATGCTCAGAAATACTCATATTATTCATGCCTAAAATATTTGGCCTGGCACTCAACCGATCCGAACCGTACTGATGGTGTTGGAATTCAACATCACCGGGTTGATTAATACCCCCAAAATTATTCAACCCTATCATGTCCCCGGAACCATAATCAGTAAGATGGTGTAAGGAGGGCAAAAAGGGCAATTGATGTGGTGGTGGTGGTGGATGTATCAAACGGCCTATGATATTATCACTAGTGCTGCAGCTGTTGGAAGAATTGACTGTACTTGAGCTTGAATTACCAGCTGCGCCTGGTGATTTTGACCTGCTGCTGTTGCCCTCTTTGCTTCTTTTGTTTCGCCGGCAGCCTCCTCCCACCGGCACGCTTCTCAAGGCTCCTCCTCTGGTCCAGTAGCGCCGGCACGTCTTGCAAAAGTGGCGAGGCTGGGAAAGGCTGTAATTGTTGAAGTAGCAAAACTTTGTGTTTGTGGATTCACATCGAGGGCATTTCGGTGCCGTCTCTGGCTGTGGTATATTGGCCAGCCGGGCTCGATCAGACATGGACCCAGGTTTGATCGAGCCCAAACTGCCGCTGCCATCTCTTGAAGTGCACCTAGGTTCTGAAGACGGCTGCTGCGGAAGCTGAAGATTATTCTGATCACATCCACCTCCTTGTTGATGATTTGTTTGCTATGAAATCATAAGGAAAAAAAAAAGTTCAAATAAATCAATAACTGGTATATTCAAGAGATATAGATTGAAAAAGGGTAGGAATATATTTATCTTTGAATCAACTTTTTTGGTGAAGAAGCTAGCTATGGAAGGAACAAAATACAAGGTTGCAGAAATTAAACCCTTACCTGTTGTTGCCAGTTGGGTGGATCCAGATAGACGGGAACGGATGAGAAAACCATGGGTAGCTTTCTCTTTTGTAAAAGTTTGATGTGCGTTTTTACAGGATGTAATATTATTGGAGAATCACATCCACAAGAGATAGTTGCTGCTGCAGAGAGAAGGGGAGGAAAAAAAGATCAGAATTGGAGATGGAAAGATAAAGAGGTGGGTGTTTATTTATTTTGTTCCTTGTTTCTCTCATCCCATCGATCCGCCCACTACTCTCTTTTGCTTTTTGTTTTATTAAATTTTTAGGGTTCGAAGGTGAGGAACCATTTTTCTTAGTCTTTAAGCTTCTTTTTGACGCTGCTCAACCCAAAAAGATCAGTGACCAATGGCCATGCAGAGAGAGAGAGAAACCCTAATTAGTAGAACTTTAATAATATGAATATAATATGGGGTACACAATTATATAATATTGATATGGAATTAATAATGAAAAGGTGGGTGATTGTGGGGGTGTCTTGGGTGGAAGCGTCACCATCGAATGTACCTTTGTTTCTCCTATCTGTTCCTTGCAGTTGCAGAGGTTTTTTTTTTTTTTTTTTTTTTTTGCATGGAAATGTATAGTATACAACTTTATTATTATCATTTTTTTTCTGGGTACCTTTACGTAGATTATTATAAAAGAAAGAATGAATGTATCCTTCTGTATAAACCCTTTTTATTGGATGATTATTATAATTAATTAGGGTTTTGGAATTTGTAACCAAAGTAAAATCTTTAAGATATACGGGATGCTACAAGCTTGCTCCTATCCCATAAAAAAAAAAATTAAAAAAAAAAGCTTATGCCTACGCAGGAACAGTGTCTTGCCAAAAGTGTGAAAAAGAGATTGAAGTATTATTGGGGATAGTGGCATCTACGTACTCTTATTTTTTTTTATCACACACCCTTATAATTTTCGGTCGTTAGATCGAATGAATATTTAAATCAGATCCATAGCAAAATTTAACAAAGATATGTCAGAGATAAAATGAGTGTGTAAATGCAAACTAATTAATACAGATTCAAATCAATATATACGCTTCCCTTCTTGCTCTTCACAATGCTTCATATACCAAAAGCTTGAAGTGAAATTGATGGGAAGTGTATACTAAACTTGCCAAAATTCAATATGCTTGTGGAAGCTTTTAGGATATTTAATTCCGTTCAAAATTATATATCAGAAATTAGTACTATTCTAGCCGTAGATTCTTCATCAATCTAATTAATTTGACATAATTTTATGGCTTTAAATTCATATGATTTGTGCCAACTATTTTATGAAAATAATGTACTAATAAGGCTTTTTTGAAATCTTCTGTATGATTAATCATTAACCAGGTAACTTTGAGACTAGTGGCAAACTTGTTTCACAGGTTTATTAAAAACAAACTAAATCTTAGATTTAAATAAATGCCAATCTGACGCATTATTTGATGAACGAAATTGATGCCCTGGTGTTTGCAAGAATAAAAATAAATTTTATAAAATGAAAAGAGTTTGAGGGAAGTTTTTAACAATATAATTATATTTCCCTTGTAAATGAATTTCTTCGAATAAACATTTTTTCAACCAAAAGAACAATTCCATTTTGAATTTCGCCTCCTCATTAACAAAAGTATTGTAGGGATTGCTAATTAGATTATTCCTTAACTGTTGATTAACATGTTTATTTTATATTGATTACACATCATCTAGTTTACAAATTTAATTTAAAATTTTAATCTTATTAACATTACCCTATCCCTAAGTAAATCAACAAAGACTAGGGGTTGGTGCCATGGTGGTGGCCTAGCTGGCCGCGGTTATGGGGTGGATATTCCGGTCGTCATCAGATGCTCACGGTCGGAGGATTCTTACTTTATATATCCAATTTGCCACGTCAGATATCAGTGGGTCCCATACCCACCTTCTTGTCTATTTCTCTAGGGTTTTCTTTTCTCCATCGGCTGGGTCGCTAGAAAAGCAACCTCATCATCTAATTTTTAAAGTCCCCAACGGTCGAAGTTTTCACTTAACCAAGAAATGTTATTGATCATGTAATGAGCATCAAATCTTCATCTTGAGGACCAGATTATGACCGTCCGATCGGCACTAATTTGTTGAATGTACCCAATCAATATTATTGGTGGCCGTGTTACGTGTATACATTTGGCCCTAATTAGGTACGGATCTATTTTTGGACATGCATGCATGTTCTTGACGATTTGCGTGGTATTTATGTCTTGATGATGATTTTAATTTTTTTTTCTTTTATTTGACTGTTGATGATTGGATTATTAATTAAGTGACGATTAACATGCTTATTTCTTATTAATGACGCATCATTTGGTTTACAAAGTAAAGAGGAACATATGTGTATTTGTTGTGCAAATTGGGTTGTCCATTTAATTTAGTTGATGTATTTTTAACTCTATAAAATGTTGTAATCGACTTTTTTTTTTTTTTTGGAAAGTTCAATCAAATGGTAAGTTATTAGTCTTTTATATGTATCAAACAAATTATAATGGACAGTTCATTATGAGAATGTTAATATACATATATATACAGTGGCGAAGCCAGGAATTGACGGGGGGAGGGGCGAAGTTAAAAGAGTGCAAGGTTCAAAAGTTACAATTGTTGCCGACGACGTTTCATACCATGAAAACGTCGCATAATAGGCTCATTATCAATAAAAGCAAATACATCTCTCTCTATGTAAACAAGCATGCTATCACTCAACCATTGATCTCCCATTTTTTTACGCAATGGTGTTTTCACAATCTTCATAGCAGAAAAAGCTCTCTCCACCGAAGCGGTTGCAACCGGTAACACCAAAGCCAATGTAAGAAGCTTATACACTAATATATAGCTTGCACACCTCCCAGTCCACCAACTCCTTTGCAAGATCACCAATTCCTCTCAGTGATGAAAACTCACTATGCATCTTCATATCGTGAATGTAATTGTCAAGTTGAATTGGAAGATTCATGAGGTCCATACGATCAAAATCTTGAGGATAAAGTTGAGCTAGACGAACAATTTTTGCTTTGTCAAAAGATGCAAAATTATTCACCGGACTCAAACATGCCATACAAAGAAGCAACTCGGTGTTTACCTCATTGAAGCGATCATTCAATTCCTTTAATTGTGTATCAAGGACTTGAAAATAGAGGTCCACACGATAGTAATGGAAGTTTGTGAGTCTTGGAGCTTTACGCCTTGATTTTCCAGGCGGATGACTACTTGGAATATTTGAAGGAGGATTTAAGCATTGTTTCTTATAGTACCGTTCCATTACGTAACTGTAAAATGGAAAGAAAAAAAAAATCTTAGACTCTTAATCCTATAGTCTATACTAATATGCATAATAACCCAACCAACAATTCAATTAATCAATACCAATAAGCATATAAATTATTAAAAATAAAAAAAATTCATTCAACTAATCATATGAATACAACTAATCAAAAAATTCAAATTTTAATTTTCACCCTAAAAAATAATTTCATAATTTCATATCAATCAATAATCATAGAATCATATCAATAATCAATAATCAATAACCATACTAGTGCATTACCATATGATTCTATATTAATTAAACAAAATTCGTATTAAATAATTAATTAGGGTTAGGGATTATAAATTTAGGAATTAAAAAATTTACCTTTGAAATTGAAGGCTAGAAGTCGGCTTAGCGGCTGGAGTGGCTAGTGTTAGCAGCAAAAAGCCAACAGAAATCAGCCAATGGGGATTTATTTTCCGTTTCGTTGGGGTTGGGCGTTGGCTGCAGGCTCAAGCTGCTGAGATTTTGGGAGAAGCTTTGCACTCTCTCTCTCTGATTGGGAAGGGAGAATTTTGGAATGGTAAAGCATGCGGGCTGACTAAGTGAAGGAATGAGGGACATGCGGTCCCCCCAATACATTATACATATATATTTTTTTGGTTTTTTTCAAACATTGAAAGTTTCACGTGGAGAGGGCACTAATTTGAAAGACATGGAGGGGCTAACTTTGGGACATGTGGGCCAGATTTTAAAATTTTTATTAATTTAAAAGGAAAAAACAGAACCAGTGCTGCTGCACGCAGCAGCAAAACCAGTTCACCTGTGCCAAAACAGAGATGGAGGGGCTGGGTTTTCTGGTGAGGGGAGCGGCGAAACCTCGGCTTCAGCTGTGTTTTCCGGCGAGGGGAGGGGCGGTCGCCACTCCTCGTCCTCACGTGGCTTCGCCACTGTATATATATACGACTAAGCAATCTCATCTTTGATTGAAGTCTAGCTTCTTTCTTTCTTGCCTCTGACAAAACCAATAGGAATTGGAGCTCTTTCTAAGTAGAATGAGGAGAGTGCAGACACTTTCACAGGTGCCCGGTATCATACGGAGATGTATCTTTATACACTAAGTAAGAAAGCTTTGGTTGGCTCTATTAACTCAAGATATACATCAACTCACGCTAAAAATAAAATATGGGATAAAAATAAAATAGAAATTATCTTTCGGAGATGGATTGAATCCTTCCACTTTAGGAATAGGTTTAGTTGTTTAATGTGAAAGCTAAGGAAGAGATGAAATCCTTTCCAGAAAGCCAAGGAAGTAAGGTTATGAGAAGTAGTTTGCTCTCGACCAAAAAAGAAAAGATTGAAACAGCCAAGAACAACGAAAATTTTTAAACCCAAATATTCTACCGAATCCAATCCTTCAAGAGCAGGGGATAACAACCAAATGAAATCGTTCACAAGGCTAGCTGGTTAAATGGATAAATCGTGTAACAAACGATCCTTGTCTTTTCGCCTAGACATAGAGGTAGACTTTTCATTTATGGAATAGTCGCCCCAAATATATGATTTTACAGGGAAATCTAATAGGAAGCTGGCTAGTGCTTGACCTTTTTCTGTTGTTCGTAGTTCGTATTGAATGGCGAACTTGCCTAGCTGAACTTGTTGGACATTGCACCATAATCCAAAAGTTAATAGGTCTACACAGTTAATTTAAGGATTGCAAATATAAATAAGATTAGGATTTAGTTGATAGCTATAGCTTGTACCCCAAGTAAAGTTAATAAAATAAGGGCTCCTAATTCTATCCAATTTGGAATGAGAATTGGAGTATCAATTATCCTTGGACTGCAAGGAATCCTAATGACATTATTATTGGAAGATTCATTAGGGTTAAGTCCATATAAATACATGGCTAAAGTCCCTACTCACAGCCAAGGTTCTAAAAAACGCTAGGCACTAGTCGGGCGGCGGGATGGCACCTAGCGCCTAGGCGGCTAGGAGGAGTCTAGGCGGGCGCCTAGACGGCCTAGGCAGATTTAGGTAAATTTCTTATATATCTTGTAAATAAGTGTATACTGACACTTACAAAAAATTATACTTGTATGAAATCCCTGAATAAAATAGTAAAAGAATGATAAAATGTGTTTCTAACAAGTCCAAAAAATCAATAACACTTGATGCTATGAACTGACAACCTGACAATCTATGTTTTTTTAATGAGAAAAAAATTAATAGCACTTAATGCTATAGATGGACTGACAGCCTTTTTTCTTTCAGAAAAGTTAAAATGCTAGCTGTCCAAACTTGAATGGACAAAAACAAAAACAAAAATTATATTAAATAGTTTGAAAGTGATCATGTGGGTGTGGAAGGAAGAGAGAGAAACTAATTTTCTCTCATCTTCTTCCTCTTCACAAGAACACAAACCAGAAGCTCATGAAGTCCAGAAAAACCAGAACACAGCTAATCTGCATTCATCTTTTCTCAAGTTCGAACACAGAAAAAATTGAAATTTCCAGACCGCCTAGGCCACCCAGTAGCCTGCCTAGGCCTTCCAAGGGCTACTCAGGCCACCTCGGTGCCCACCTAATCCCTGTCCCAATTTTGCTCTCGATTTTGCATTAATCCTAATGGTTGGCCACCGCCCAGCGCCTAGGCGGCCACCTAGGCCGATTTTTAGAACACTACTCACAACACACATAAACTCATATGAATGCCCCATTAGTTCAAGTATAAAGGAGTCTTGAGTATACATAAGACTTTGGTCAACTAACATATTATTCCGCAGGATTCCAATACGATTTCCACAGAATGAGAAGTCCATGGTTGAGCCTATTTTGCACAATTCTGTCAAAGATGGTGCATCTTTCCTACATGCCACGTTGACTTCGAGTACTTTATCAATTGAGCATAATTTATAAATTCTTTCAGGCAAGGTCTAAAATATCGATATTATCCCGATATTTCCATCGAAATTTCCGTGTTTTTGGACTATCGATATTTCCGATATCATCGATATTTTAGACCTTGATAGGAACTCTATGTGGTACTAAGTCACTCATGTATCTTACCATGCAATGTATAAAGTGTAAAATATTGTACTAATTCATTATATATAAATGATTATGGTGTGTTTAAACTTCTTTCCTTAATTACTACATATTTTCTACACTCATAATGTTTGCCAGCTCGCTATATAATCAACTTAAATTAGTTAAATCCATCATGCAATGCATTTCCTTACAATTTTTTGTAATAAACTAATAGATAATTGACTAAATAAACATCCCACAAAGTTTCAATAAAAATTTCCAAGTTTTTCGTACAATTTCCGTGGTTTTTATTCAATTTTTATCGATATCGATAATATCCCGATATTTCCATCGAAATTTTCGTGTTTTTGGACTACCGATATTTCCGATATCATCGATATTTTATACCTTACTTTCAGGTTAGTGTTTTTAGTTGTTTATGAAATTTATAAAGTCTAACAGAATTGCCCACTTTGCTACTCTTCCAAGTAGGTCGGTCTTGTAAAGGATGATCTTAAGTAGATATTATGCAATTGGTCTTATTGCAAGCATCAGTGACGATACATAAATCCTTTTATGGTTGGTTGCCCCACTGAGGCTACTTGCTCTGTCCTTTCATGTTAGATGAGAAGAACAAAATTAGACTTTCTTTGGGCAACTAAACTTATGATTTGAAGGTCTTTAAGTTTTGAAGCATACAAGATGTAAAGAGAGTCGCTTTGTAATATTATAAATCAGTCTTAAAAAGTAGTTTTTCCAAACCATACAACATTATCATTTACACTAAAGGGCGGGAGATATAGTTTACACCACACAATCTATCATATCTCGGCCCGGGGTCCACCACATCCCGGGCCCGCTCCACCACCGTAGCACAATATTGTCCTCTTTGGGCCCCAACTACGCCCTCACGGTTTTGTTTCTGGGAACTCACACGAGAACTTCCCAGTGGGTCAACCATCATGGGATTGCTCTCGCCCACTACTTGCTTAACTTCGGAGTTCCGATGGAACTTGAAGCCAGTGAGCTCCCAAAAGGCCTCGTGCTAGGTAGGGATGGGAATATACATTTAAGGATCACTCCCCTTGACTATGTGGGATGTTACAATCCACCCCCTTTAGGGGCCCGACGTCCTCGTCGGCACACATCCGCCAGGAATTAGCTCTGATACCAATTTTTCACATCTCGACATGAGGTCCAACACATCCCGGGCCTGCTCCACCACCGTAGCATGATATTGTCCACTTTGGGCCCCACTACTCCCTCACAGTTTTGTTTCTGGGAACTCACACGAGAACTTCCCAGTGGGTCACCCATCATGGGAGCTCCCAAAAGGCTTTGTTCTAGGTAGGGATGGGAATATACATTTAAGGATCACTCCTCTGGGCGATGTAGGATGTTACACAATTGGTCAACCATAATAGTTTGGTCTGAGTTCGCCCCCTCAAAAGTTGAACCTAAGACTTCACTCTAATACACTTTGCAGTTAAATGGAGTTTCACGTCTTAATTTCACTTGAGATAGTTTCTTCCAGATACCTCTGAAGCAGTGAAATCGATCTTAGCGACATTCGACATTCTATACATGACCAAAACTTGAATTATTCCCTTAAGTAAAATTCACAAGCATCATAGATAGAACCATAAGTTCTTGGGACATAGTTTGGTTTAAAAGATTTACATCATGGAGAATAAAAGTTCTCAACATGGTTGGTGTGCTTCTTTAGGAAAACCCTCAGTTTTTTTTATGGCATGCTCGAAACATTGGGTTTGAGATTGGAATGAACTCCAAGGTCACTCCCTATGTATTCATAACAACCATACACGCACACATATATAAATATGCAACACAAACAGATATAACATTGCAATAGCATATGAAAGCACATAAACTAAACAACTTCAAATTCTTATGTGTGGGGAGTCTTTCAGACTTGTCATTGGGTATGTATGAGACTCATGCTCACTGCCCAGGTATCGAAACACAGGTATGTGTGGACTTTAAAATCATTCCAAAACCAAAGGGATGGGGTACATATCCAAAGACGGGTTAGGAAAGTGTCGAAACGAATGAGGGATGGATCTGTTTGGTACTCTTATGCTGAAAGTTGGGTGTGTGATTCAGAAGACTCATATTGAATTCAGGCAATTTGATTGGTATATCCCTAGCATAGTAAGTCATTCTATACATCACAACCGAAGTTGTCAAGGGTCATTCGTTAGACTTTTGCCGAAAGAAAAAGAAGGGAACTTTAACGAAAAGCTCTCGATACTGTTCACTTTAATGAAAAACCACATTTTTACACTAAAAAGTCAATCATGGTACTATTCACTTTACCCTTTATTTTGTCCTTATCGTTAAAACTCAAAGTTTTCAAACCCTTTTCATTAGTTTTCTTATAAAAAAAATTATACTGTGGGTACCTCTCAGCCAAATCTTTAGGATAACCTCTATTTCGCTGGAATAACCAGGCCCGCCATTCTATGCAACATCTAGGGTTTTTTGGGTTGAGTTAGAGGCTTTAGAACTCACCATCAACCTCAGTTATATCGAGGG